GCCCTTCGCAACCAACCTAGCCTTGAATCTTAACGGAGTGCCTTCAATGCCCTCCTTCTTCGTGTATACTCACTTGCAGTCAATTGCCTTCCGCCCCTTTGGAAGCTCAACAAGCTCCCATGTATCATTCTTATGAAGAGATTTCATCTCCTCCTGCATAGCCACCTGCCACGAATCAGCCTCCGAACTTTGCTCGGCCTCTCTGAATGTAGTAGGCACTAACTCATCGATACTCTTCATCGGAAGTGCATACGTAACTGTGTCGGCATACCGTGCTGGCATCTGTATGTTTCTCCTCTGTCTCCGAACCGTAATTGAATCCTGAACCTGAGCCGTCGGTTCCTGATCCTGCACATTTGTACTCGTATCCTCCGTGTCACCGTCGTGCTCGCCTGGCGTCACCTCAGTCGGCACTTGTATGGATACTGTACCATCTGGACAATGTGGAGTTGCATCGATCTCCACCACCTACGATATCTCCTCCGTCGGGTCGCTCTCCACCTGATGAGAGCTTGGAAGCTTCAAGATAGAAGCCTCATCGAATGTGACATCCCTACTCAGCATAATCTTCTTATCCACTGGATCCCAAAGCTTGTATCCCTTGACACCACGCTTGAATCCTACAAATATGGCCTTCCTAGCTCGAGGTTCCAATTTATCAGTTCTAACATGATAATATGCAGGGCAACCAAATACCTTAAGCTGGTCATAGTCATGTGCTGTCTCTCCCGACCACATGACACCACGCTTGAATCCTACAAATATGGCATTCCTAGCTCGAGGTTCTAATTTATCAGTTCTAACATGATAATATGCAGGGCACCCAAATACCTTGAGCTGGTCATAGTCATGTGCTGGCTTTCCCGACCACATCTCCATAGAGGTTTTCCCCTCAATCGCAGATGAATGCAGCCTATTAATAAGGTGGATCGCATATGTAAGTGCCTCAGCCCAAAAGATCTTCTCCAAACCACTCTGCGACAATAAGCATCGGATCTTCTTCAGTAAAGACCGATTCAACCTCTCTGTCACCCCATTTTGCTGCGGCGTATGACTAACCGTGAAGTGTCTCTCTATGCCCTCGTCTCGACATAGCTGTTGAAAGGGGTCAGAAGTATACTCACCACCGTTGTCGGATCGTAACGTCTTGATCTTTCTCCCAGTCTGCAGTTCCAATCTCTTTTTCCACTCCACAAACAAATCTAGGACTTCATTCTTCTTCGTCATAGTGTACATCCAACAACGCCTAGAATAGTCATCTACAAAAGTGACGAACAAATGTCGACCACCAAGTGATGCAGTCTTGGTGGGACCCCAAACGTCTGTGTGCACGTAGTCTAGGATGCCCCTCGTCTGATGAATAACAGTCCCGAACTTCACCTTCGTCTTCTTTCCAAGAACACAGTGCTCACATAACTCAAATCTTCCCACTCTTGGCTCCCTTCAATAGCCCCTGCTTGCATAATGTCTGCAGTGACTTTTCACCTGTGTGCCCTAACCTATAGTGTCAAAGTCTGCTCATGTCCGCTTCTGAAATAGCCGAAACAACCTGGCCAATCTCGGTGCTTCCCTTCAGATAATACAAATTCTGATTGCGGACTCCCTTCATCATCACCAATGATCCCTTAGTAACCTTCGCTACAGCGTTTTCGAAAGTCACCTTGAATCCCTTAGCTTTCAAAGCTCCAACCGAGATAAGATTTTTCTTCAGTTAAGGAACAAATCTCACCTCCTTCAACTCACGGACTACTCCATCGTGCATCCTAATCCGCACGGTACCTATCCCACAAACGCCACAGAATTAATCATTTCCCATGACAACAACGCCCCCGTCGACTTTCTCAAAAGATGCAAACCAGTCTCGTCTAGGGGTCACATGAAAAGTAGCGCCGGAATCAAGCATCCAATCTGATGCATCTACATGGTTCACCTCCGGAGTAATCAGTAGAGAAAAGCACGAATCATCGGAATCATCGCCTTTCGCAATATTCACCTCATTGGTCTTCGGGCCCTTTTTCTTGCCATTCTCTTTCTCCTTGAGCTTCGGGTAGTCTCTCTTCCAATGTCCCTACTCCTTGCAGAATGTACATTGGTTCTTTGCTAATTGGTGGCGGCTTCTTGACTTTGACCTTCTTCTATTACCATCTTTCGGATATGGGCTTCTACCTCTCGTCGACAAGGTCTCGCCTGAAGTGCTAGCACGGGAAATCTCCTTGTCCTTCCTCAAATCGTAATTGGTCAATGCGTTAGTCACTTCACTATAGCTGATAGAAGATCTCCCGTTCAACAAAGTGAGCACGAAGGTATCATACTCCTCATCCTGTAAGGAGCCCAACAAAATAATCGCCTTGTACTCATCCGATATCTTCTCATCAACATTCGCCAAGTCCGACAACAATTTAGTGTAGTTGTTCACATGAGCCGCTAGCGATGTGCCTCTGGACATCTGGAATCTGAATAACCTACGCAGCAAGTGCAACAGGTTCTCAACACTCTTCGTAAGGTACTTATTGTTGAGAATTTCCCACATCTTCATCGCAGACCTCACCCCAATCACATCATACTTCAGCTCCTGTTCCAAACAGGATCTGATCACCCCACAAGCGTTCCTATTCATCTTTTCCCATATCGTCTCATCATATTTAGGTGGTCTCTCGTGAACCATGATGGTCTCTTCTAAATTCTGAACATTGAGCGCATCCTGTACGTCGCTCATCCACAAACCAAAGTTAATTTTGCCGTCATATTTCACCACACTAATTTTAGTGTTCTGAAAACCAACTTGTATTGTACTCGCCATCGATTTGCTGCTTTCACCTTCTTCTCCCATTGCAAACTAACTCCAAATTATAGAGAAAGAACAAATTTGATAGAATTAGGAACCACCCAACTGAACCCTAGATCGGATTCCAAATAGATCTCCTATCCACACGAGGAAAGCGAAATCTCCAACAGCAACTCCTAATGCTATCTCCACTGAAGCCTAGAACTCCAAGAACCAAGCTTCACACAAGAATCTTCCTCCACCAAAAAACCCTAAATCTAAAATCTGGGCTCTGATACCACTTGTTGCGCGCAGCGAAAATTTCGACAGCACAACAAGAGTCAGGTCGCAATAAGAATTCTTGTTTCTCAAAGGGAACAAGAACTAATATCTCATCAAAGTAAGATATTAGCTATTCCTCTTGTCAGCTCTAGGACTGCGCATTGAGGGAACCTAAAAACCTATTACAAATCACACAAATAGCGAGACAACCAATTTTTACGTGGTTCGGTAAATTACCTACGTCCACGGGGCAAGGAGGGGGGGAGATCTACTAATAGAGGGAGAGATTACAACTAGGGTTTATAATCACTCACAATCTAAACCCTCAAATAAAACTCTCAGATCCCTCACAATATCTCTCTACAAAAAGATGCACAAACCCTAAATAAAGGGGGCTGCTCAAAACCAAAATCACAAAAACAATGGCTACTGCTTTTTTATCCTCCAGCCAACTGCGCATTGAGGGAACCTAAAAACCTATTACAAATCACACAAATAGCGAGACAACCAATTTTTACGTGGTTCGGTAAATTACCTACGTCCACGGGGCAAGGAGGGGGGGAGATCTACTAATAGAGGGAGAGATTACAACTAGGGTTTATAATCACTCACAATCTAAACCCTCAAATAAAACTCTCAGATCCCTCACAATATCTCTCTACAAAAAGATGCACAAACCCTAAATAAAGGGGGCTGCTCAAAACCAAAATCACAAAAACAATGGCGACTGCTTTTTTATCCTCCAGCCGCAAAACAACTGCACCCGAACCAAATCTCCTCGAACCTGCAGGCAGCCAGCCGCAAAACCAAAATTACAAACCTCCTTGGCACAAATCACACGAAAACCTAGGAAGCTATTTATATAGCTTCGGGTTCGGTGAAATAGGGTTCGTGGGCTGCTTAATCACGCGGAAAAAGCAGCACGTGGGTGGTCCCCTCTTTACGCGTCATTCACAGATACTAATCATTGCACACCAACTTGCGTTCAATGCGAAAGCATAGTCTATGGAAGCGTCACCAAACACCCAATTAGATCTCCTCGTTTTTGTAGACCAATCGATCACCGGGCAATGTGGAAACACCGAGAAACATATGTTCGAACTAAAGAGAAAGAGCAATATACCGCAGAAAGTATAACGAGAGCACAAATACATGGGATTTAATGAGGTTCGGCAATCACCTACGTCCACGGGGAGAGATTTGAATCTTCTTTATATTAGAGATTACAAAGATATAATTTTTCTTATAATCTCTAACTATTCCATAAGAAAACTCTCTCAATCTCACCAAAAGATCTCTCGAAACTCTAGATTTCCCTCCTTAGTTCTCTCTACCTCTCTTTTACAATATGCAACTCTCCTTGCTTAAATCATCTAACACTAGACCTAGAAGACCTCTTTTATAGGCCCCGAACCGGATACGTAGACACTATAGGAGTCCTAACCTGAATAGAATTCCAAAACAGACCAACAACTAAAAATACCCCTAAACGGGTCAAACCGACCAGTTTGACCGTCTGGTCTGACTGGCCGGTGCACTGGCTCACTTCGTTTCACCTCATTTCTCTTCCCGCTTCATTTCTGACTTTTCTGTTGCCTTCTAGGGCTGAAATACAAGGTTATTTCCCAAAAATGTGAGGTTTGAGGTTATTTCCCAACAAAGTGAACTCTTTGCTATGATGAATTCTAATTAATCGTACAGTACACAGTGAATTATTAATGTGAAGGTTGGAAGTTTGGTATTGCTAACTCTTCTGTTGGTACTTCTGTTGGTAGTGCTTTGCATTGCAGCATTGCTACATGACTGTCGTCAATGTAAAGTTTGTAGGAGAGAATTGCCCTTGAGTCTTATGCTTTTGTTGCTTATTTGGCACATCATATTTTCTCGTACACGCACTGCTTTTATATGTATCCACTGGCCATCTTTTGATGCATGTATTCAAAATAAATCGCAGGTTCCCTCTGCAACTGCCTACTTCCTGAGGCCCTCAAGGTTGCTGCAGTTCATAATGATCCTGATTATGAAGCTGAAGATGGCGAGAAAAGGAGGCTGAGAGGCTCATTCAGTTGCCTATCTTCCATCTCAATGCGCCAGAAGCAATTATCATCTTCTTCCATCTTCATGCCTTCTCCCTTGAAAGGATGCCTTCCACCATGGGAGGTGAGAAAATCCAGTACCCTACCTCTTAAAGAGAGGTAAGAATCGTCTACCCACTGCAGAGAGATTTTCGGACATCAGATTGTTGATAACTCTTTCGCTTATTGAGCCAAATCAAAGCGTGTTTTGTAGGCTTCTCACAACACGCAGTAGAGGAAGAAATGGAAGGATGTCTTTGTTCATGTTAATACTCAGTGAAAAATGTTTTTTTTCGTTTTCCACTTCCTTTTGTCATTTGGTTCAGAAATTCCTGTTTTATTGTGTAGTCCTATGTCCTGCTGATTTTTAACATCTATGGAGATGCTGTTTTCTGCTCTCCGGAGAGAAACTAGCGTTCAGGGATCTTTCTGTTGTACTATCGTTGCACACTGAAGCTGCTGTGTACTCATTCTAGCCCTGTGTTTTGCTAGCGGTCCGAACTCTATGACATGCTTTAAATAATACCCGTTATCAGCAAGAGTAAGCTTTCGAGGGTATATTCGCTGAACCTCTTAAATGATATAGGAGAGTATATATATATAGGTGCCTACTGATTTTGATGTCATGCCTTTTCGCTCATAGATGGGGGATGAATCTGAGTTCTCAAGCTTCATTTCATGGGCATTGGAGGGAAAGTGGCTTGTCCTTAGGGAAAACAATCCAATAAGGGCATCATGATGTGCACATCAGTATCAACAATTAGCGCAATTACTATTTTCAATCAATGCACGTTGCACCCACAGCAACTACATCGATAAGCATTACCAACTAAACAGACAGTTGATAGTGGTCCATGCATGCATCATGGGGTTTGTGGTAGACAGGAGTTGATAAGTACAGAGACGCACGAGAGAACTTGATAATCTTTCTCTAGATGATCTTATTGATTGCATTGTGGTCTTTACATACAAGAGCACAGGGTTACTGGTATTAGGTGAGCGCGAACGGAGGTTTGAGGCGGGGCTGATCCGCGATGAAATGAGGCTGAATGGGTCATCGACAGCAGGCGTGCGGTGGAGGCTGTCAATGGCTGCTGACACGTGGGTTTGTTGTTGCTGCTGCTGTCGAAGCTTGAAGCGGAGATATTGCAGGTGATGCGTGGAGACACGTGGGTTTGTTGTTGCTGCTGCTGTCGAAGCTTGAAGCGGAGATATTGCAGGTGATGCGTGGAGATTGCAAAGGCAAATCTTGCGTGGAGGTTGCTAGCGACAGAGCTGGTAGCGAGCATGAGGAGTGGCCTGATATAGGGGAAGATGTTGTTACATTTAAGACTATCACAATGCTTGGGCTTCAACCTCATAGTTCACTGTTATATTTATCATCCGTGGGTGCAGAGGGGCTGCTGAAGGTAAGGGGCAGGTCGGGGTACTGGCGCTGTTGGCGGGTGGAGGAGGGTTGCCAGAGTGTCACTGGGCTGGTGGTGGGCACAGTGCTGTGATGTTTCGATCGAGGTGAGGGCCCCTTTGATGCGAGGGTTTGGTGGCAGGGTGTTTGCCGGTGGTGGAGGGGGGTAGGGTTAGGGCTACGGTGAAGTTGGTGTCCGCCAAGATCGAGACTAATGTCGAAGGCGCTGAGGGAAACCGTAGACTGACCCCTTGGCGGGTCCAAATTCGAGGAAAAATGAAGGGGTCTTTCTAGGATGAAGAAGATGATTCTGATACCATAATAAGTACAGAGAGATATGAGAGAGAACTTGATAAACTTATTGACGGCATCGGCGTCTTTATATACAAGAGCATCGAATGAAGTTCTATCGTCCTAAGTGATGTGGAACTAAAATAGAACAAGATATATAGTCTTAACTACGTTATTTAACGGGTGCGTCTTCATTCTCTATGTTCTCGGACGACATTTTGCGATATAAGGTCTCTTTTCCGGTCTCATCGCTACTCCACATACGGCGCACGTGTGCTCGGAACCCAGCCTTGCGTTCACACGCGGGGGTGTATACGGAAGAAGGAGATCGACAAATAAGAGAGAGAGTGTGTGTGTGCGCGCGCGCGCCAATGCTTCTTTCGTTAACAAAGTAAGGATTCTTTTGACGCATGACACTAGCGACGTTTTGGAGGAGTACGCTCGGTAGTTATTCGCGCGACTAAAGCAACATCCACAGCCAGCTTTCATTCTGGGTCGCCATCTTTTTCAAGCCTTAATTTGTTCCCAATCGCCTTCCCATGGCTTCTATCGACCCCCCTTTGTCTCCGTACGTAAGTAGGTTCTCAAGCCAGCCATCATTTGAGGATAAGGATGCCAGTTTCTCCAAATATTCTAGGAGAGCCAACGACTATCAAAATGCGCTTTCTCTCCTCCCTTTAAAGGGTAAGCGGCGGAGACGGTAATTAATAACTACTAATTATATTAGCACAACTACACGTTACACGTAGCGCAACACTTACACGCTACGCAAAAGCATCTTAATCTTCACTAATTAGCAACAAATTACAAGGTCAATAGTACATCACCCCTCTAGCCAGAGAATTTGTTAGTGGATAACACTACACAAGAACATGCGCTAATCACATAGACTACTAATTAACAGGATCATTAGAGGCTACTAATTACAGTTACATCCCAAACAGGTAGCCATAATCGATAACACAGTTGTCCTCGTTTATGTACAAGAGTTCGTCTCCCATTTCACCAAACTCACCGAGAGCCGCGGGTGGAGGAGGAGGAGGCTGGTAGGTTTCCGTAGATGATGAGCTCGGGCTGCCTCCATCGTCCGCACCACCGTCGCCACCCTTTGAAAGCCTCTTTATCTTCTCCTCAGCCTCCGAAAGCCTTTCCTTCAAGCTCAACACCTGAATATTACCAAATATTACGGAGTACATTTTTAATTAACTACACGGCTAGGAGATTAAGAATAGTCTAATGGTGTTTGGAAAACCATGAAATATAAAAAACAATAAAGATGTTCGAAATATGAAATCACAATTTTTACAAAACCATGAGATCTTGACAGGGATGTCATGTTATCAGTATTTTTAATTCCAGTCAAAACTTCTACTTACAAAATAAAATATGTACGGACTTTTAACATTGTTTGGCAACACGCGCGTCGAACGAGAGTTAATTTATAGTCCAAATTTTACCAGACTAAAACACACACACAAAATTAAAAAAAAAAAAAAGAGTAAAAACCGTCGGAAGGAGATCGAGTTTCAGTAACCATTTTATTTTATTTTATAAAATAATTGTGATCCTCCTCCTCCCCTAAACACCAGAGAGTTATAAAACTAATCCTATTCACTTAAAACAGATTAATTGTTTTAATAGTTTCAAAAAACAATTATTTTAATAGTTTCCTTGAATCTCTGTAACCAAGTAGGTAATCTATACCTCATTCTCAAGGTGGCATTTCTCGACAACAACAGAATCGAGCTTAGTTTTAAGCTTCAAATACTCCTCTTCCATCTGCTTGTTCTTCCACCTAGCCCTCCGGTTCTGAAACCAGACCGCAACCTGCTTCGGGTCGAGCCCGAGCTTGCTTGCCAATTGCATCTTTCTCCCTGATTCTAGCTTTCTCTCCTCACCAAAATTTATCTCTAGAAACCTCAATTGTTCATCACTCAGCCTCCTCTTCTTGCTCTCGGCGCTCAAACCGTCACTATCGACCTTGGCTCTCCTCCGCCGCCTCCTCGTCCTCCTCTGATCACCTGAAAATAAAAATATTTGTATATTTTTTCATCTCCGTAGATTTTAGTTTATTCTTGAACGGAGAAAAAACTTTACCAGACATGTTGCATGTGCACATGACATGTTATGTACAAACTTTTGTTACTAAGATACTAACCTTGAGGAATGGAAGTGTAGAGCTCAGAGCTTGGAGCTGATGAGAAGAGCATTTTCTCTTCAAGTACTTGCTTGATCATTCTCTCTCTCTCTCTCTCTCTCTCTCTCTCTCTCTCTTAGACTCTGGTTTAGTGAAGAAAACTTATGTATTAATGGTCTCTTAACAAATTTATCTAGATTTTTTTTTTGGGTTAGTTTCTGTAAGTGTGGGGTGGAAGTCTCGAGGCTGATTTATAATAGGCAAGATTGGAGAAAAGCCCATGAAGGCATAGAGTAATCACAAGAGTGCCACTTTCTTTAAATAGAGAGAAACGTATGGACTCAAGACGCTTGGAGAAGGGGACAGAATTGCCATTTGTGTCCCCTGACACGGCTCCAGGAAACAAGAGTTTGCTGTTGACGTTAGCAGCCGATCTTTTTGACGAAAATGACCACATGGGGGCATTGTGGGAAGATATAGGGGCATTTTGAGAGTTTCATGTTTACTGTAGTTTGTTATTAGCTGTAAGGCAACGAGAGGGGGATTTTCTTTATTCCCAAAGAGGACCCGGATCCCACAGTTGGTCACCTTAAACGAAGTTGTACGGACTAAGAGAGAGAGAGAGAGAAATTTGGTTTGGTTATTTTTTTTAATTTCTTTTTTCCCCCCTCTCTCTCTCTCTCTGAGCCGCCCAATGAAAGGGCTTGTGGCTTTTTGTTAATTAATCTCTGGATCATAATCCTTTTTTATTATGGGATTATGGTCCCCTATGGTCTTTAAGCGTATATCATTAACACGTTTCATGGCTTTCACCAACAAGAAACTGAGAAAGCTTAAAGGAGCTGGCTTAATTGAGATTCTTAAATCCTATAATTTATCCAAATTACAGTAAACAAATGGCTGGTCCCCTCGTCAAATTTGATTCTTTGATGTAGTTAGCTAGATAAAGTGTGAGTTTATTGGTTAGAATCTCGTAGCTAGATATCACTGGAATAACCTGTAAATGGCAATGATATAACTTGATAGAGATAAATAATACCAATGATTGAAAGATATACTAATTTAAACTCTAATATTAGTAATCTAAGAGATACGCACTGGTACGCTAATCCTTGTGACATGGTCTGGCTACTGTTCAAATAATAGCAAAAGGCTTGAAACTAGTTCGGGAATGGTGAGTTTAGTTATTTCATCTGCAGGAGTAACTTTAATAAGCAGTGGAAGCATCATAGAAGGAATCAAAAAGCTTGAAATTGACTTTACTAGTGTACTTCTCAATTTTGGTAGCTAGACGAGATGAGAATGGTATTGCTCATAGGTTAGCAAATATTGCGTTAAATATATGAGCTATTCTACTTGGGTGGGATTAACCCCAAAGGAGATTTCTCCTATTTTTCTCCATACGATTCCTATCAATAAAATGCTTCTAATGTTTCTCATGTATACACACGCACATGCGCGTGCGCGCGCGCACACACATAGATATAAGTATTCATAAGGTGTCACATTAGATTCAATCTAAGAGATTAAGCGCCTCTTGATTCATGAATTAGATCAGTCCAATTGATGATCCACTCCGTTCATCGTGATTTAAATGTCTCAAAACATCTTATAAAATAAAAATCATGATATTTTAATATTTCTAATATATATTTTTCCATTGTCCCTTTAGTTATATTATCGTAAAAGTGTTAATTTTATAATTACTTGATGCATGAGCAAATACAACCCAATGTGGCTAATTTTTTATTTGTATATAATCCAAACTTATAAATGGAAATGAACGGAGAGGGTCGAGTAATTTAGTAGCATATAATGTAGTTAATGTAGTTTTGAAGGGGTTATTTTAGATTGAATCTAAAATGTTAGGAAGCTTCTCGGAACGACACAAACAATCCAAGAGATAAATTACAACTAATAAGCCAAACACAATATCACAGCAAAACAACGAGTTTAACATGGTTGGCAAGTTACCTACGTCCACGGGGCAAGGAGGGAGGAGTTCTTACTATTAGAAATCAAGAGAATACAAATAGAGTTACAAATCTCACCGATCAAACCCTAAAACAAAACTCTAGATTTCTCATAAATCTCCTACAATTGGATGCATCAATCCTCTCTAAAAAACTGCTCAAAATCATCCTTGTTTAACCCTAATTAATCAGGTTTATGGTTATATATCAACTCAGAAGCGAACCGGGTCAAAAACCAAGACCCAGCCTAAAATCAGTCTGCGGTTGACCGCGACGGTTGATCGCGACGGTCGACCGCGACGGTCGACCGAACCAAAAACCCGAGAGCAGAATCGATTATAGTCATGGCGCGGTCGATCGCGACGGTTGACCGAATCTCATCCCGAGACCAAAAATCACCTAAATGGTCCTCGCAGTCGACCGCCACGGTCAACCGCCTTCAGCTCCGAATCCTACTGGCCTTCGTGCACGTTCGCGGTCGACCGTCGCTGACTCGCAGTCGACCGCCAGTCTGCCTGGCCGATTCTCCTGAACTTCCTGTTGCTTCTCTCGCCACTTCTTTAATTCCCCATCTCGACGAATGTTTCTATCAAAAACTGAACCGACACCAAATCATCCAATAGTCCATCAACAAGTCTGGGAACCAAACTAGAGCTAAAACGTAATCTCCCCCCATCTGAATCAACAGATCAAACCGGCTGCATCTGAAAGACTGCCTATGTATCCTCTTGCCCAATGAATCAAGCTAAATATAGTTCACCCAAATGGCCTCCAAAGGCCTCAATACTGAAGACTATTCAAAAGTTTTAAACAATGACCAAATTTCACTCCTAAAATAACTTTGGTCAGCATATCTGCAGGGTTATCATTTGTGTGGACCTTCTCCAATATGACGTCTCCATCATCCAAAACGTCACGACCAAAGTGGAATCTGACATTGTAGGCATCGAAAATTGCCTATAGGTCTCCACGAACAGTTCAGTGTTAAAGAGCGACGATGAACGTCACTATCCGATCCACAGGAGTTCGATTGACGTCAATGAACGATTGAAGTGAATCGACGAACTACGTGAGCTGATAGGATTTCGGAATAGCGAAGGCACGGGCCAATCGGGAACCCTGCGATGTTCACAAAAAGAACAATGCCCTTCATGACTCGATCACTCTACAGATAATCCAACCATCGGAGCGGATCGAACTCTTCGTCAATCTTCCAACGCACTTGGAATCACTCAAATCCGAGTTCGGATGAAGAATTTTCGACGGAAACAAACTGGCGACCACAGTGGGAGCCAACAGCTTCGCTGCCGGAGCTGTCGTGTCGCAACCTCGGATCTGCATCCCAGTTGAAGAAGTGGTCGAATACGAGTTCGACCAATTGAAGTTCGAGGAATATCTGTCGTCCTCCTCCTCCAGATCCTCCGCCTCTCGCAAGCGAAGGAAGATCAACGCCCCTGTTGTTACGGTAGCTGAACCTTGCAACGCCCTTCCGGCCTCCAATGAGTCCGGATCTGCAGATCGCCACCCCTCCTCAATCAAGGAGTTGAGTACAGAAGGCGCGCCTATTTTTATCGAAGAGAACTCGTCAAAGGCAGCGCCAACACTGTGCGCGCCAACTCGCTAGAGCATTGGAGTCAATTGACGGGATCCGTTACGAGGCGGATCTGAAAATTAGGCGACGCCAAGCACCCCAATAGCGGACAGATGTCCTCCCCTCCAAACCAATAGCAAATGAATGGATCCAAATCAAAAAGATCCGTTCAACTCTGGAGGAGCGAATTCAAAAGCGCTGCGCGCTTGCGCGCACGCGAATTCTTGTGCAGGTCACTTGGATCCGACCTTCCAAATCGCAGGTCACTTGGATCCGACCTTCCAAATCGCAGGTCACTTGGATCCGACCTTCCAAATCGCAGGTCACTTGGATCCGACCTTCCAAATCGCAGGTCACTTGGATCCGACCTTCCACTTTGCAGGTCACTTGGATCCGACCTTTCAAATCGCATGTCACTTGGATCCGACCCTCCACTTTGCGGGTCACTTGGATCCGACCCTCCACTTCGCGGGTCACTTGGATCCGACCTTCCAAATTACGGGTCATTTGAATCCGACCCTCCAACCCGTCGGTCACTTAAATCTGACCCGCGCCAGAGTCAAGGCAGAAGATGTTCTGCACCTGTTTCGTCGATCCCTATGAGTTCCGCACCTCCGACGGAGCACCGGGACAGTGTGGACTTGTCCCATTTCAAGGTGAGGATAGTCGATCGCCTGGGTCCTTTGCACGAGGATCGAGGCAAAGTTCTGATCGAAGAATGCTTGGGTCCGGTGACTGAACCCCGAGCGATTCGTCGAGCTGGGGGTCGCACACGCCCTCATAACAATTTCAAGCCTTCTCATGAAGGGAAAACTCCAATTTCTACCCGCCTGGAGGTGTTTATCCAAAACCAAGAGCCTGTTGAGATCGTGCGCTCCCAAAAGCGTAGTTCTAAACACGTAACTCTTGAGAATACTAATAAAGCGGCAACTCCCCTGAAAGAAACGTATTCATCTGACGATGACAACGTTATACCAGGGGAGTCATATCAACACACGATAGGTTGTTCTAGTCATCTAACCGATGAGTTGTACTATCAGGCTGGGGGTATGAACAAGTCTCGTAAGAGATATACCCGAGAAACAAAATCTTACTGCCCGTGCACCGAACTAATCGAGGCAGTATTATCAGCGTGTAGCTGCCCAGTTGCCCCAAGACCGCTCTGCAGAGGGTCTCGGTATTTGAGAGGATCTCCAACGGAATAGCTAAGTCCAAACCAAAGCGTCTCCGTAAGAAGCGATCGGCTGTTCATGATAACGAACTTCCAAAAGTCACAATTAACATGGCTGATAAGGGAAAGTCGATTCGACCTTCTAGTTCTGACCCTCTAGTATCGCATCGTCTGACTCGGCTACGCGTAGGGACTACTAGACGTAGGGACTACCAAAGAATGCAAAGAGGTTTATCCTCGGACGATGAAGCATCGGATGCTAACTCTGCAGTCGCTTCTGACAATACGGTATCTAGCCCAGGGCAATCCCGCGAAGTGTTTATGATTAACACCGAAGAAGCAACTAAAATGGTTGAGGATGCTCTAGCCAAGCAGAAGCAAGCATTTAAATTCGAAAGAGAAACGGCTATGCAGCGGATGAAGGAAGAGCACGACCGACAGATTCGGGCTCTTTCCAATCAAATGGGCGAATCCAGCCGTCGCAACGCTGCTAACCA